CCGCGTAGGGGGTTAGATTGATTAACATTCATGTCTATAGATTTTATGTTTTTTAGACTCCATCCACTATCTTTTTTTTCAAATGCACTAATTTTAGTAGTAATTGTATCATTTAAAGATGAAAAAAAATATTTAAGTCATCTTCTTGACAAATAATATAGTTAAGCGTTTGAAAATCGAACGTATCATGAATATCTTAAGTTTGTTGAACAAAATCAGCATGCAATATGAAGTTTACTTTAAAAATTATGTGTTGATGAATACACTCTTGTATTAAAAATAAAATATCATCTTTAATAGAATTTAAAAATAGTTCAGGAGTTTCAAAATTTACCAATGTCGAACTATCTACTCTACTATTGATTTTATAAGTTAAAATCCTATTTCCAAAAGCAGATTCAATAACACTAACGTTTGATAAAGAATTATGTGAATTTAAAAGATTATTTTTGTGAACATTACTTTTAAAATGATTAGCTAAATACCGTTTCTTGATAAATATATGACACGTTAGACATTCCACTTGATCATCGTTACTGATACTGTTCCCTGCAGAGGTATGCGCTTCTGCTTCCGTTGTTGGTTTTTTGATGATCTTGGGTTCTTTGCTGCTCGTTGGCTTCGTTTTAACCTCTAATACAAACTGAAAATACAGCCGTTTTATAAAATGTCAACCGATCATGCCAGAGGCTAAAATGAGAGGCCAATCCTGCCAAAATAGCCGTAACCTGCCATGTATGGTCACACTGTATGCTAACTTCTTATCACAAGTAAAACAGCCTGGGCACCGTCATATTAACACCGAAATATTTAATACCAACTTTGAAATAAAAAATTCGACCGAAATTAGTTATATCCCTCATAGATATGAAAATCCGTGCAAGCGAAATTTCAAGTTATTGATATATAATAAATAATTGAAAGATTTAAATCATTCTTATAGTATTATATGGAAACAATTAATAAACAAAATGATAAATGACTGTAAAGTGTTGACGTTTCGTTAATATTTAAAAATATGAAGTTAAAAATTTAGTGAGATTATGGTGACATATCATTCGAGATTATAAACACTGCAGTCTCATGCCTACATGCTTACATAAATGTAAATATATATATATATATATATATATATATATATATATATATAATATGTTAAATGTTTACTTGGCGCACGATACTACAGTGTCTCCAGATTACCTAAATAAGGTGTCTGTCTGCTTAGATGCCTTGAGATACTATCTGCTTGCTCAAGATGCCATTTGTTGCTTATGTTGTTACTTGGCGCGATGTTTTGCAGTGAAACTGTATTTTTCGGATTCCATATACTGAATATTTTTATTACGTATCTACATTTGAATTCTAATTGCAGTAGTCAAAATCTCAAAGAAATTCTTTATTTATAGTTATAGTAAATTATAGGGGGGAAAATCACTGAGCTCCATTACTTTGGATGAATTCTCAGCACAACCTTACGAAAAAAAAATCCAAATAAAAATATTAAAATTACTAGTGTTTCATTTACGAATTTGTCAATAAGCAATGTAAGCAAATACAAGATAGCTAAAAGCCCTTGAATTCCAGACCTTTTTGTTTTATAAAAGCTGGAAGTTTTTCAGTGCATGCTACCAACATAGGTAGGAACGATGGGCAACTATGAAGTTTGGATCACAAAAGGAAACATTTTTTTGTATGTAGAATGGGCCCACCACAAATTTTAGAGATTCTTAATAAAATACATTTCCGTTTATTCCTTATAATCTGTAGATTACAATAGTATTATTAGTGTTACTTCATCTTAACGGAGTACGTGGTAATTCATAATTGAAATTTTGAATCTAACAGTAACTTAAAAACAAACTGAAAGCGATTTTCTAATAGTTTTCTCCGATATTATAAGTTAAAATAGTGCACTGTTGAATAATTATAGCACATATAAAACAAAGTTACACTCAGCATCTGTAGGTACTTTAAGATCAATGGAAAATCTTTTCACTAGTTCCAGAAAAATATAGTGCCTGTCTGTGCACAAATGATTCTATTTTTGACATGTATTGACTGATTTTGTATTATCAACATTAAAGTATTATGATTAAAGCCAATGACTAAGAGATAATATGTCCATTTTTATTTAAAATATTACCAACACACTGTAAGAAATATGTTTTAAATTGGTTGTATTACAAAAAATAAAATGTAATGTAACTTTATTCATTATTGTTAATCATAATTTCTAAAGTATTATATTAATAGCAGTTAATGTAATTCAACATACTTAATAATAGAATTTCACAAATTCAAGTTGGAAAAGTAAACTCCTGTATTACATACATATTCTTATTATATTTAACCTAAACTCGTCAGTTTAACGGCAATTATTTCCACAAAAAAGAGAATACATACGTAATGTGGAATATTAATATTTGGCAAATCTGCATGGTAATATCCATATCCTCTTCAACACGTTCGCATCGTTGAGATGATATTTACCTTCTTGTAAACAAATAAGTATATACTTTTTAATTTCGTTACCATCAATTAGTATTAAACTATTGTAAGAATAAAGTATAACCACAGACTTTATTCTTACAATAGTGATGCGGCCTAATCCCTGTTTTCGTTCAATGGAGTGAATCGAGTGAATTTATCCAACTCGGTAATCGAGTGAAATTAAATTTTACCAAGTTATCGAGTCATGCACCGTACAGATTTGGAGAGCATTAGGTAGATGTGACTTCACTAATTTACTATCACATATTGCATCCAAATTCAAACATGCATCTGGCATGTTGTAAATAAATGTGAACTTAGTTTGATTAATAATATCGTGGTTGTACTATCATTGCTGATTATTTTTTGTTCCTTTGTATATATAGTGCATGACACAAAAGGTGATTGACATTAATATTTGTTTGTTTCAAGTATGAGTTATAATAATGAAACAACAAAACAGAAATCGTCAGTGTGGCTTTATTCTAAAGTGGTTGGTTAGACAAGTTAAAAGGATTTTATAGATTTAAAAATACTACAAACATATAAAGAACATGGAAATACTACAAATAAATAAATAACTAATATTGCTATATAATTTCATATTGCCACATATTACTTATCTAATAGAAGTACATATTTAAAAATGCTTTCACTAAAGTAATCGCTACTCTCAACTCTAGTGATAAAACTTTACTCGATGCAGGGACTGAAGGGAACTCGATGAGGGGAACACTCGTGTACAACTACAATGACATACATACATAAATTAACCCGAGTGACTCGAGTCACTAAATTCTACTCGAGTCGCATCTTTATCTTATGGACAATGCAGTGTCTGTCTACAATTTAGTGATGAAATCAATTTACTAATTCGAATTACTGATTCGAAATACTAATTTTATTAATGTAACCTCAATATAAATTTATATTACGTAGTATATAGTATTATATAACGTCAGATTTATGTTGTAGATAAAATAAATTTATTAAGTATAATTTGTGATAGTGAAATTATTAATAATTGTTCTAATTCTTTGTTACGTACACTAAATTACAATAAGTGCGTAATTTCATGTTCATTCAAATAAATACTCCTTCAGATTCGTTTCAGCTTTTATAACGTTTGTCTCCAGTGTAAACGGTCCATCTAGAAAACAAGAAAATTGTTATAACATGGTGAATAAAAAAAATAGGTGATATCGTCCTAGTTGGTAAAAACTAAAACCTCAAAATATATTCAACCTTGCGTGCGAGATTTCATGGTTCAATAAATGGAGGATTATGAGAATATATTTACTATATTACTGTTAATAAAAAACCATTTTAGTCGGAAGGTTAATAATCGTTCACTTTAAATACAAAATCGTTTCTTTCACATGAAAAATTAATTTGTAAAATATTCTACGAAAATGTTCTGTTAATAACTACCAAAAATATAACAGAATTGTACTTTTTATATTTTTAGTTAGATTAAGTTAGATGAACTGCCATGTTTTATTCATTTACATAACATTGAAATATATACAATATTAAAAAATATTACATAGAAAAACTAAACCTAAATACTTTAATTATTATATTATAGTCCTACTCCCCGTTTGTATCGTGCTGAACGCTGTCTGCGTTTCCTCACTGAATGGCTATACTTAGCCATAGAGCGAGAAAAGAGCCAGCCATATTATTACCAGGATTAATAAATTAATTTATTATATAATATATTTAAGATTCTTGCAATATTGAGGGGTGGGATACGATAAATGCTACTCTGTCATTATCATGTTGTTTTCATTAGCGATAACTTACTATTTCAGGAGTAAGTTGAATTACCTAACAACTCGGTTATCCCATTTCAAAACCATGCAAGGACTATAATTAAGAGTAACAGTAAAGCCGAGAAACTTAAATTATCATAATTTTGTAAGTAAAGAATACTAATAATATTAAAATTATACCTTATTTTCATCGTAATACCATTTTTGATGATTAATTATGTTTTGTATTTCGTGGTACACATGAAAGCACAACATTAAAAATTATTTGAAATAATTAATAAGATTTCCTTGATTCTATGATAAAAGAACTCTATGACGACAGAGAGAGACGATAAAGTAAAGAAGAAGAGAAAGAAGTAATATTTTTAATAAAATTATTTCTTATGGGTTTAAATATGGGACATTGAGATTAGATGCAGTAGCAACTCTCAATTGACTGTTAATATAATATGTTATATAATATTTAATACCTAGGGATTATAGTCAAGCACTGGTTTAACACGTTATCGGTGGTGAAAGAAAACATCGTGAGGAAACGTGCATGTCTGAGAAATAAGAAAAAAAATATTTCGAAGTGAAGTGTGAAGTAAGTCAACACGAATTGGGGCAACGTTGCGGACGTTTACTTGCCTTAAAAACCCTCTCAGTATTGAGAGGGGTTTGTTCCCAGTAGTGGGACCTAAAAAGGCTAACGTAACTTTTACTTCTTTCTTACTACCTTAACGTTACAAAAATCTAATCAACATTGCTTATTGCCTTACCAACTTCAAACCACTCCGTCCTTGAATACCCAGTATCTTCGCGCGATGCAACTATAGCTTCCCTTAAAGCAAAAGCTACACTGACTGCCAAGCATGTAGGTGGTTCTGTCACCGCTAAAAATATAAATACATTAACAATAAAAACCTCTATATTCTCTCATACTATTTTTTTAATCCTTTTTTAAAGAAGGTGGTTTACAAACGAGCACACAGTCCATCTGATAAGTGAAGCGGTGTCACCCCGGAGGACTGGATGGGATGCCTCGTTTTTAGTAAAAAGGGTATCCGGTTCTCTACACTCACTATACGAAACAAAGCAGCATGCAGTTGTTATTTTACGCTGATCTTCTATGAGAGTGTGGTCCTACTTTGTACAAGCCGACCCATTCGTACTATAACCATAATAAAGCTGCACCTGAGATCGACCACGTAGAAAGAAATTTGATAGTGATTAAGATTAAATTTTGATTGAAAAATTGAAAGGTGTCCGTCATCCCCGAAAACTTTTTTTTCTTCAGGCGAGCCGCATGTTTGTATAGCTGCACTTCTGTGAAATTATGTTAATATTTTTTGTTACATAATTCATAAAATTCGAAGTAGTCATGTTAATTTTGGTATGAACATAATAGTAAATAAGGTTAGAAATAATTGAGTCATTTAGTGTCAGTGTTAAAGAATCCACTACCCAATATCTTCTAGTGGGAGACGAAGGAGAGAAATTGAAGAAGGAGAGGAGAGGAGAGGATAACAAATTAAAATAATAAAAAACTGTGGTTGCCAGGCTATTTACGGGAAAGCCTATAGCCAGCAGTGGACTTTGATAGGCTATATATAATGATAATGATAATGATGAAGTTCATAAATAAATAGAACCATAAAAGGGTCATGTATTTCTTTTTCCGTGCCGACCTGAAAAAAGAGGTTTACAATTCTACTCTATGTTCTTTTTTAATTAACCGCTTTGTGTATCTGTCTGTCTGTATGTCTGTGTGTAGCATCGTAGCTCTTAAGGTGATGTGGGCGCCAAAAGCAGTTTTCACTCTTTATAGGTGCGCAGAAAAGCAATTTTTTATCATTAAAAACTACGAATCCGCATTTTTTTATTTATTACGAAAGTTAAAGATTTTTCTTAGTGAATTATATTGACCAAAACACGATTTACACATTTAGGCTCGATAGAAAAAGGTCCAAATTCCTCAAAATCTACAATTTTAGGCACGACCACTAACTAGAAAAGCTGTTTCATTCGAATGTAATGAAATCAATTTGAATTAAATTCAGGCTGCGTGAGTAAATTATGAGCCTATTTTTCAATAAAAGAGTCTATATATTTTAAAAATAAATATCAAATAAGTATTGTGCGATTAAATAGCGCGCCCGCCGACCAAACAATCCATATAAAGCGAGAAAAATCTGCATTTGGTGCCCAATTCACCTTAAGCGGGTGAAGCGATTTGAGAGTGGTTTATATTTTTTTTTAAAGCAGGTTTTCTAGCGGTGAATTTTAGACATGAAAATCATTAGTTTTTTATTTGGGGGGTTCCAAAAATTTTCAATTTAAGTTATTGTTAGATAAATAGATAAATTGGTTCTTACCATAATCCATAAACACTCACGCCTGTCACCCAGAGGGGTAGGCAGAGACTACAGATTTCCATTTGGCACGATCCTGACACACCTCTCTCGCCTCCTTCACATCCATACACCTACGCATACATGCTCGTCGGTTAAGGGTACTCCTAATTTGGCCCGTTTCCAATAAATCGCCAATTTGGTCGATACATTTTCGCCTAGGACGTCCCTTTCCGACTCTGCCATTCACTTCTGCAACATAAATTTTCTTTGTCACTCTTTCCTCATTCATTCTTTCCACATGACCAAACCACCGAAGCATTCCTTTCTTAATCCTGGTCACAACATCATCTTGCAAACCACACTCATCTCTTATTACACAATTTCTTACCCTTTTTTTTTGCGGATGGAAAATCATCTAATGACCCCTTTCGCTCTGGGTGGAGCGTAAGGGAGTGTCAGACTTTTACTGACTAAAAACCATCCGTGTTCCTTCAGTGCCCTTACGTTCCGGAGCCGCGGTATCTCTTTCGAACAGCCCGCAGCCCCGGCAGGCGTCGGCCCTTGCGGGCCCCTTCACGCTGCTGACAGCTCTTTGAGGCGCGCGTGGAACAAAACGCGCCGTCGACACGGCCTGTCGTCATTAGACGGACGGACGACGAGCTACCCATTGCTCGCCGTCCACAGGCCCGCGCCTACGGTGGCCGGGGGGCCACGACGTAGCCCCCGACGCCCGGGACGTCTCCCGCGGCGGCCGGGGAGGAAAGCTGCTGCTCTCTCCTTCTCCCGCTCCGCCACCTCCTTCGCCAGCATCACTGCTTCGCAAAAGGTGGTGACGGCATCCCATTCCGTCTCGCTCCGGACCATGGCTTCGACCAGGGCCGGACGCGAGAGGTCGCCGCCGCCTATCGCCACTACGAGGACCCGGCGGTGCTCCGCCCAAGCAGGGCACACCTCCACGGTGTGTTCCACCGTGTCCTCCGGTCCATCCTCGCAGTGGGAGCACCCGGGCGTTTCCTCCCGCCCGATTCGGTGCAGGAACCTCCCAAACACGCCGTGTCCGGTGAGGACCTGCGTCAGGCGGAAGGTGAGGATGCCGTGGCGTCTCTCAATCCACTCCTCAAAGAGTTGCGACAGTCGCTGTCTCCATGTCGCCATGAGATCGTGCCGGAAGTCTGTCCGCTGCGCGACAACTTGCCGCGGCAGCGGGGTTTCCCCACGGCATAGTGCCTCCGCACGCCATTCGTGCAGGCGCGCGAGGACTATCGCCTCCGGATCCCATGGCGGCAATCCGGCAAGGAGGCTCGCCGCCTCGCGGGAGATCGTGCGGTAGCCGCGAACCATTTTCACGGCTATCACCCTTTGGGGCGCGTTCAGGTGGTGGACGGCAAGCCGCGCCAAACCACGCGCCCACACCGGGGCCCCGTAAAGGGCCATGGACCGCACGATCCCCGCGTAACAATATAAACATAAACTGTCATTCAGATTCAGCCCTAACATACTCCTTACTTTCTTTCTTACCTCCACCACAAGACAGGGCAGGGCTTGCACTCTTGTGCTGCGGTCTAAATGGCATAGAGCGCCAATATAAAGGTACAGCGTATCTGCAGCAGTTGTGTATTGCCAGCAACGAAAATTCAGGAAGTTGCATTTAGAAAAAGCCAAAATTAGGGGATTTTTATGTCCTAATTAGGTGCCAAGTTTAAAAATTAGGTGCTCTTAAATTTTCACCGCAACGAACTGTTGAAATTTGCTTTGCTAGCAAAACGTACCGCTAGTAATGTTGTGAAGATAATAAATATACGATAAATATTAATAGTCAGGAATTAAGTGCAAGTTCCGGGAGTTATCGGGTCTAAGACTTAACAACAAATGTCATTAATACCTTACTATAAATTTGTTACTTTTCGTTGCTGGCAATACCAGCACAACTGCTGCAGATATGCTATCACCTCTGAGGATTAAGATAGAATACCTCACATTTTTATTTATATTTGCGCTCTATGCCTTTCAAATCAGAACAGTGAAAGCACTGCCTTATGGTGGAGGTAAAAACCAAATTTATCTATACTTAGACGGAAGTAACTTGCCTTGACGTTTAGAACTTGATGCGTAATAGAAGATATTCCTACTGCTATTTATACTACTCTAAATACATTATTAACGTAGTGCATAAAATGGCGTCTTACCACTTAGCAAAAAGTTAATTATTACCGAATAATTTATTATATATCTTTTATATTATCTAAATTCTTACTTTTTAATATATAAAAATTTATATGTCTCAGTGTTACACATACTAATGTATATTGTCCTATTATAGATTTTTTTTCAAAGAATTTAAAAAAATGTCCATACGATACGGTACTTACTTTCTGTATACAAGATGTATTTTATATGACTAGTTCAAAATATTGCAGAAAAGAGAAGAAAAATAAATGTAGTCTTTTTTTCTGTACGATTACAGAAAAAAGACTACATTTGCAAAATGCATGAACACCGCATAGACTATAAAAGAAATGCAATATAAACATAACTTACATTTAGCTCCCAAAGTACCAACTGGATTGAATGAATTTTTTCGCAGCTTAATTCTGAAGTCAATAGGTATATCTTTAGCTAGAGGCACATGATAATTCCAAGCCCGATCAGTGATCAATTCTCCAGTTTTATTATCATACATCAAGTGCTCACAAGTCCAATAACCAGTTCCCATAATAAACGCCCCCTCTATCTGAAAATGGAATATAGTTTATTTAAATTAACAAAATTAGCAATAAATTATGTTTTTAATTATTAATTTATCAGCATATGAATTGATATATTTTTATTGAATAAGAATAACGAAAGAGCACACAGCCCACCCAACGGTAAGTAGATGCTGTGGCCCATAGACATGTACAGCTATCATAAGCTAATTATCAAAATTCAGGTACATTATCATATTTGAGAACTAAGGTGGAATGCCTCGTTTCCAATAAAAAGGATTTCCAGTACACTATATATACCATACGAAACACATCAGCATTAAGCTGCTTTTTATGCTGGTATTTTGTAAGAGTTTTGTCTTTTCCCAGTCAAGCCGACTCATTTGTACAAAAATAATTATATAGTTGCAACGTAATTCTACCTAAAAATGTATTAAAGTTAAGTCATAAGCAGGGGGCGACAATGGTAACAGAATCTACTTTTACTGCTCGTCGTAAGTAACGATGTGAATACGGCAATGGTCTTTTAATATTAGAAATTGTTGTCTTTCTCTCGCGTTTTTTATTGGAATAAATGGGGTGCTATTATTTTTCAGGTAACAAAATTGACCCTATATCTAAAATCAGTTATGCATCAAAATGCGGATGTTTATCACCCATGATGACTACTATGGAATTTGTCACCTGTTAGAGAGGTATTTGGTTATCGACACTCGACGTACAAAATACAGCAGTATTGTGCTATTTTACGCTGGTATAATGAGAGAGAATGTTTCTTCCCTAATTGAGAAAACCATATTTTCTATATACCTCATATTCTGGGTTGGGGGGGGGGGGGAGGGGGGGGGGCGCGGCCGGGGAGGGGGGTGGGCACCCTTTTTTTTTTGGGGTTTTTCTTTATTTCTTACCTGCCCGATGTCCAATTGTGGATTTATACTCAAACCAACATCTTGCATAATGTCGACCCTTAAAATTTCATGTTCTCCTGTTAAAATGTCAAGTTCAACTTCCGTGACCACCGCCCCCACCGATCTATAAGGTTCTTCATCATTAGGTGTTACTCTGTAACTGGATTGAAGATTTATGCCTCGCATATATGCGGTTTCTATTAATAACTCCCAAGTAGGCTCATTTAATGTTTCTCTAACTATAGACAAACGATCGAGGAGGATTTGGCAACATTTGATTGCACCAAAACACACAGCATGCGTTGTACGACTACCTCCGGTAATAATGGTGTTTGGGTTTGTTGAAACATTAGTAGGCTTAATCTTCACTTTGTTTAAGGGAATTTGTAGTACGTATGCTACAGTTTGAGCAACTTTTGTGCCTTACTTCCACGGAACCATCACCGTGGTAAACTGTCACTAAGATATGAAAATCCATTACAGTTGAAGCAGGCCAGCTCATAAGTGCTAATCTGAGCCCCCGTTTCTTCCAACGATTTAATTTGTTAAAGGTTTGGACTTCCTTCCTCCTTTTTTTATATTCACTATCTTCAATCAAAGTCGAAACGATTTCTGCCACATCTGTGTATAACGGATTTAAGTTCCTAAGACGAACTTGTAAGGGATCTCCATCGAGCTCATACGATATACGTTCCATAATATGTTCAGTCATGGCTATTGCTTCAAGTGCTCCTGGTATTTGTAAAATTGGAAATTTTTAGTAAGATATAAAACATAACGAATCAGTAAGAATATTAATCTTATATTAATTTTATATTAAATCAAATTAAGCTATAATTACCGGGTGATCTAGCGTATGTATTGGAAGCTGTATCCGTAATTACATTGAATAACTTATACTGCCACCTTCTGTTATCATAGCAATTCTTTACAGCAGTTATTGCAAATAGTAGTAGTGGTTCACTGATAATATACCCGTTATCTTCGTATAAATGATATTCCAAGTATTGAACTTCACCGTCATTATTTACTCCAACCTGTATCGTTTAAATTAGGCTATACAAGTTATTTCAATATTAATGGATTGTTCTACATGAACATATGAAGATTTAAGATGTCTTTTAATTTTACATTTATTATTTAACCGCTTAATAACCGTCTTAAAGAAATGCCAGTGAAATCTAGTGCCTTCCGGAATATATATATATATATATACTTATTGTTATTAAATAAGTTTTATTTATTGGCACGTAGGTGGTACTTAAAATGTTTGACACAAATGACTACTAGTTATTATAATATAAAATAATAAAGGCACGATAACGGAGATTAAAACCACGTTCGATTAAGCGTTTTCCTGTTGAGCAAGTATTAATGCCTCTGCTATACCTCGCACTGCTAGTGTTGCTCGTAACTCTAGCCTAAGAGACATAGGTTCATCATTTATGTAAGCGTTTTCTGCATTTAAGCTATCTTGTAGTACGGTGTGTAATTATGGAGACATTACCTCACTGCCCGTAATTAATGAGCGAAAAGAAATTATGGTGTGAGAATTTTAGAAGACAAAAAATAAAATTATTTGATAAAATGTGTTTTCAATATGTCCTCAAAATAATAGACCCTTTCATTTAATATGCCTTTTACATGGCTCCGTTACTGAATGTTTGCTAGGTTTACGTCATAATAGCGATTTAATATCATCTTCATGATTTTTTTATCGAGCTTATTACTATGACTGTTTTTATAGAATTAATTTTTTTGTAATCTATTTTTTACGATGGGGAAGAAAGGTTCTTGGACGGCAGCTTCGCACAGGTAGGCGAAGTATTTTATTTATTTATTTATTTTATTCTTTATTGCATCCTTAAACAAAAGAATACAAAGGGCGGACTTAATGCCTTGAGGCATTCTCTACCAGTCAACCCATGGAGTGGTGAGAATTTGATGTAGGTGTGGCAATAAGAGAACAATATACAAATGATAATTAACTACATAATATATACAAACTACTAATAAATAAACTAAAATTTTAAAAGTGTACTTATTGGGAGCTTTTCTGATGTCGAAGTGTAGGGCGTCCTCCCACTGGGTGGTGTGATAACCTGGTATGACATGCAGGAGGTTGATGAATGCAGGTGGCTAAGGACCGTGCTTTGTGGTATTCCTTGGTGGAGGCCTATGTTCAGCAGTAGACCTATAAAGGGCTGTAATGATGATAATGATGATGATGATCCTGCAAGCATGGTCCTCATCGGATATGTCAACTTATTGCTGGAGCCATAATATAACTTCTAGCGATCCGTACAGTGTGACTGCAATATATCTATTGCACGCCTCAAGCGAAGCGTTGAGGTTGTGCTCTACTCTCACCTAATGGAAATCCAGTAAATTACTGGGCTAAAAATGTCTTTATTTTTCTACTATTGCACTTTTAGAATAATAAAAATACACATATATCGAAAAAAATCACTCGTTTTCATGTTTCTATTATTTTTAAAAGTAATTTTCTATATTTAGTGTAAAACAAACATTGAACAAAAATTTTTGGGCGTCCGGATGTCTGTATGTGTGGATGGTGCACGATTACGGTCGTTAGAATTAATGTATCGAAATAATTCTTTTTTATTAAATTTAGAATCTCAATGCACAGGGTCCTTTTAAAAATCACTGACTAATTTGGTCTCGTTTAATTGTAATTAATGAAAATGTAAAAAACAACTGGTACTTTTCTACAAAAAAATATTCACATGGATCTCTTCTTTCGTCTCAAATATGAAAAAGGAGATATTTTTCTTTTTATATAAACAAAAGAGATTATGATGCGTGCACTTTTGGATTTTACAAACTTTTAATTACCTATTCTTCAAATATATTATTATCATTTATTATCTTAATTGGTGGGTGGCAAAAAAATAGTGTAAAATATTAATGTCCTGTCTAGACCTATCTTTATATAATAAGAGTGACAAGTTATCATATTTTCCACCTGATGTTAAGTGGATACTGTGGCCCGTAGCCTATTTTTTTTATTTTTTCTTTATATCTACATTTCTATTGAATAAGAATCAAAACGCAGATGCGTTGTCACCCCTGAGGGCTAAGATAGAATGCCTCGTTTCCAGTTAAAAAGGGTCTCCGGATCTCTACACTCACCACATGAAACACATCAGTATTAAGCCCCTATTCGATGAATTATCTAATAAAGTTAGATTAACAGAGGATCAAAAAGTTATAAAGAACTGTAACGTAGCCTTAACTAACAGACAGAATCCTTAATTAGCAGAGCGCGCCGTGTGCAGGTGAGTCCGATATGTGTTATTAAAACGATACGATATGTATAATTTATTATAGTGTAATTAAAAATGTTTTAATGTATATAATTACTTCATACTCCCACAAACAGGGGCTTCGTTTACCGACTATTCTCATATTGGCTTGCATACTCATAACGAAGCGACATGGTCGATTCGTTAAATGTGTCACAAGAGCACAAGCACAGGCAATCATGCCACTTCGATACATCTTGGCACCGAATGCTCCTCCCAATCTTCTTACGGATAAGTTTATTCTGAAAAAATTTATAATGTGTGTTACACCTAAATTTTGTTTCGTAAATACCACTTGAAGAATTAAAATATATAATAAATTCAGTACCTATTTTGTGCAATTTTCAACACTTGAGATATTCCAACGTGTACTTGATCTGGCCATTGGGTTGCCGCTAATACTTCCATTCCATCTTCATTAGGTTTGGTGACACAAGTTTGAGTCTCCATATGATAATGATATTGCCAAAAAATATTATTCCGGCCCTTAATTACCTTCTGAACATTGACACCTTTATCCCTAGCAGGAATAATAATAAAAACAGATACTCGTTCAGGTTCTCTAGTAATTGCGTCACTAATTGTTAATACCGGTTGCTTTTTGATGTTTTTATACTTCGCCTTTACGAGTAATGCAGCACGATAAGCAAGCTTCTCAGTTTCAGCTACAATTATACCTATTGGTCGATTATAGTACTTCACATTGCGTTCACAAATTATTTCTTCTTTTACTAAACCACCTTCAATGTTTGTAGGTATAAAATTATTTGAACCAGGTATATCTTTTGGTGAAAGGAACGCCACTACACCCGGTAGTTTCTAAACATAAAAAGATTTTTACTTAGAAACAAAATGAAATAAAAAGTTTAATAGAACCTTTCTTTTATTCATCATTCATTTATTCATGATGAAATTCCACTGCTGAACATAAGTGTCTTTATAGATTGCTCCATAAAGGGAATTTTTATGATGGTTACCTCGCATGTTTAGCGGGTTGATAACCGAAATTTTGTGTTTATTTCCTATTAATAGCTGTTATAGACCACACGTAACGATATGGGATAGTGTATTTTCTTCCACCACCACCAAATGGACAATATCTCTACATAATATAAAAAAGTCGCTTCGAACCCTTTGTACGATTAGATCTTTTGGTACGCAACGGATTTTGATGAATAAAATATATAATAGAGAATCATTTAAAAAAGAAACAATCGCCACGTTTATGATAGATCATCAGTTTATCACGGCTGGACTGATTTTGATGAAACTTTTGTGTGTATTTAGGTAATTCCCTGGATGGACCCGGTAAGTGGCGTTGTTGTCGAGATCCAGTAATCACCCGTGAGAAGCAATGGCGGATCGCTAATTACTATATAACTTTAAAGAAAATTGGACTCGGTAGGTGGCGCTGTTCTCGAGATCCAGAAATCACCCGTGCGAAACCGGGGCGGATCGTTAGTTACTATATAAATTTAAAGAAAATTGGACTCGGTGGGTGGCGCTGTTCTCGAGATCCAGAAATTACCCGTGCGAAGCCGGGGCGGATCGCTAGTTACTATATAAATTAAAAAAAAATTGGAATCGGTAGGTGGCGCTGTTGTCGAGATCCAGAAATCACCCGTGCGAAGCCGAGGCGGATCGCCAGTTACTATATAAATTTAAATTAAATTGGACTCGGTAGGTGGCGCCGTTGTCGAGATCCAGAAATCACCCGTGCGAAGCCGAGGCGGATCGCCAGTTACTATATAAATTTAAATTAAATTGGACTCGGTAGGTGGCGCTGTTGTCGAGATCCAGAAATCACCCGTGCGAAGCCGAGGCGGATCGCCAGTTACTATATAAATTTAAATTAAATTGGACTCGGTAGGTGGCGCTGTTGTCGAGATCCAGGAATCACCCGTGCGAAGCCGAGGCGGATCGCCAGTTACTATATAAATATAAATTAAATTGGACTCGGTAGTTGGCGCTGTTGTCGAGGTCCAGAAATCACCCGTGCGAAACCGGGGCGGATCGCTAGTTACTATATAAATTTAAAGAAAATTGGACTCGGTTGGTGGCGCTGTTGTCGAGGTCCAGAAATCACTCGTGAGAAGCAAGGGCGGATCGCTAGTTCATTTGAAGTAAAAATATAATTTAATCTTCATACTAAGTCACACTAAAATAAAATCAAATTCATTCAATACTTGAATACTCATACTTACAATTGCTAACGATGGATCAATGTCTTCAATTTCTCCGACTGCGATTTCAGAGGGAACAAAAGCACAAAATACTTCTCTGGGTATAGTGGGAATATCATTTGCATATGTAGCTTCTCCTGAGCACTGTATCAATGCTTCCAGCCTGGGCATTGGCTCATTTAACGGCCAAATGATTGGATTGGTGTCAAATTCCTGTGATCCTTTTGATAGAGGTCTACTTTTTCTAAAATCTCTGGCACCAGATCGGTATCGCGGATTTAGTTTCTTTTCAGAGATAAGATTTAGTAAGCCCTAAAATTAAAACTAATAATGCATTTGCTACACATATGATTAAATAATTCTATATGTGTGCGTGTGCGTGTGTGTTGTTGCGAAATTATTTTTATTTTAAATAGGAAAGCCAGCAAACAAAGAATAAATCAACAGATTAAGTAGTAGGGACATTGGGAACTCAGCTTTTCTATACATTGTGGATTGTTGATTGGTCGAAATGTAGCGGTTAACTTTTGAACTGTCACATGCATTAACTAAAGTGTAAGCAGATCATTTACATAGCGTTCACCTAGCAACTTTTTATATTTTTATCTGCTCCGGGGAATACTATTTGCCACTTTTACTATAAGTATAATCGTAGATTTTCTCTTTTAACTTTGTGTACATTCTTCTATCCGTGTGTATGTGACTGAACTCCTCCTACACGGCTGGACCGATTTTGATGAAATTTTGTGTGTCTGATTGAGTTGATTCGAGAATGGTTTATATTTACAATTGGATTGGGTAGAAGCAGCTGTTGTCTAGATACATAAATCACTCTCATATAGGTCATAAATATTTTATGTAATATGTTTTATGTTTTTTACATTTTTATCACGACACTGACACTTGGTTTTCTTGACGTGGATCGACAGACTGACTAGCTTGGTCTTTGGACTGTCTCAAATATCAACAATTATTCTATGATAGATGGTGTCAAAGTTTCGATGAAGTTTTTATCGAATCTTTGACATAATATAGGTCGTACGAATTGCTCTGGAACCACTGACCTCTATATATACAAGTACGCTGGACTGGCTATAACATACAAAATGTCTGTGCCAAGCGTGAAGCGTGTGAGGCACCCCTAATGGTCGTCTTGGAAGCTAAAATTGATATAATATGCCAAAGTCTGTAGTCTTATTAAAATCTGTATTTTGAATTTTTAAGCCAAAAACGAAATGATTTCTTATATTTACGCGAACAACACACATTGATTAAAACTACTTTTACGGATTTTATCGCGTTTATTTTACTTTTAATTACTTTTATTTTTAATTCCCTACGTTTCGGGTGCTTTCCAGCACCTATGGTCACGGGGGAATGAGATGACTAACGTCCCGATGTTAAACCCGGAGTACCTTCAGCTTTTTTTTAATTATTGTTTATGGTCCGATCTATGCAAAATGAACTGACTATGTCCTGAGGTCTTGCAGTGGTATGTAGGTAGTAATTAAAAGTAAAATAAACGCGATAAAATCCGTAAAAGTAGTTTTAATCAATGTCTGAAAACGAAAGTATTTTATGTTATTTGTTTGTGAATAATATTAGTTGCATAATAAGAATTATTTTTAATAATAATGAGAGTGAGCGTAATCTGTAAAACTCGTTACCAAAAAGGAAGTGGTATAACAATTCACAAGTAAGCGAATTTGCAGCTAATATTAAACAAATTAAAACAATTTGATAATATAAGTATTTAAAAATGTGTTACTAATATTAATATCATATATACCAACATGTTTGGCTGTATATTACTGAGTTTTGATAAACAATAAAATTCAATAGGGTTGTCGAGTTCCTTGTCTATAAATACTTATCGATGTTCTTTCCAACCCATATCTGTTAACAAATAAAGTTGCCAAAAACAGGTGATTATCAAATGTTTATTAATTAACAGGTTTCCAACTGAACCTAGACTAAAATTATGGCTTAAAAGCATAAATATTGTAAACTGGCGTCCGATACAAAATTCTAAGAAGACTGCTTTATTAGAAATGAGAACTGCACCGCTTTAAAAAAGCGCAGTATTCCTACAACATTTTCTGGTAGTACTAGTACCAGTAAGTGTAAAAGTATTAGATTATTATTTCAAATTTTTTTTTATTTCTACTTTCCTCATTTTCCCCCAATCTTAAGGGACATAGTCAAGGGTCGAAAGGTCGCCTGATGATGTCGAGGCACGTTGGATGTGTGTTAGTGGGCTGCGGCTTAAGGAAATTCCTCTCCCTGTACCGCTATAGTCGAGGTGGAGTCGTCAGGGAAGAGGAGTGTTGGTATGGCGATGTGCGATGCGATGCCACTCTACTATCCTTCGCGACTTTGGTGAGGCTGCACCACTTGATGCTTCCAAGTGCTCGTTTTTTCCTGGCTCGATTCACATATCCGGCTCGGGAAGTCCGTAGTGCAGGTAGAGTCAGAGGCCTCGAAGGGCAATGTGCCTTGTGTTTCTGGTACGCCTTGTTTGAGAAGGAAAACGGGGGGGAGAACTCAGAAACTGCCATTGGGCGGCTGGCGTCAGAGGGACCTTGGAGGTAGAACACCATGCGGTTTTAGTTAGTGTAAGTCTAGAGATTTAATTCTCTTTCGAGTCTTAAGATTTAATTTTTGCTTTAACTTCGTATTGGCCCTACTTTAGTTTATTTCTTATTTACAAATTCTGGCCATCGTTTACATTTAAGATTTTTGGCAGCTTCCTCTTGCGCAACATCCACCGACAAAGGCAATCAAGTGTTCGATCAAGTACTCATGCATTGCGATATGTCAAGCCCCCTAGAATAAGTGGCACTCTCGAAGCTAAAAGCTTAGGAGGATAAACGTAGTAATGAGGATATCGGCAGTAGAACCAGAGTGACTGACATCGCCCAACGGATTAGTAAGCTGAAGTGGAAATTGACCGGCCATATAGCTCGAAGAACCGATAATCGATGGGGTAAAAAGGTTCTCGAGTGGCAGCCTCGTACCGGCAGGTGAAGTATCGGACGTTCCCCCACTAGATGGAGTGAAAACCTGGTAAGACATACAGAATGTTGATGGATGCAAATGGCTCAGAACCGTGGCATTTCTTGGGGGAGGCCTACGTTCAGCAGTGGACTGGTGAAGGACTTTATGGATGATGAATGATAATGGCGTTATATTAATATGATACACAAATAGAATGGACGTTACGGTTAGAGTCCATCTATCTATAGAGTCCATTATTTTTATTTAGGTATATGTAGGGTGTAGAATTTTTATCGATAGACTTTGTCACACTCTCTTATCCCTATTATTAGTTCCATGGTCGTGTAATTCTGCTGTCAGCGCCAAAATGGCGCAAATCAAATCGCCTCATCATGTCACGATGTATAGTCAGTCAAGTGTACTTGTATATATAGAGGTCAGTGTCTGAGACCAATAAATACGATACAATTTGTTGCATATTACTGAAGTTCATGAGATAGTACGTACAACCTTCGCTATATTACACTGTGTTCAACTCGAAGAAAATTAATGATCCAATAATCAATCAAAACATTCAAACATCTACATCTATCCCCGAATAAGAGTCAAAATGTAGATGCGTTATCACCCGTGAGAACTAAGATGGAATGCCACGTATCCAGTAAAAAGGGTATCCGGTTTTCTATAATCCCGATACGAAAACCAGCGGCGTTAAAACGCTGGTATTTTGCGAGAGCGTGGTCCTTCCCTAGTTTAGCTGTCCAATTCGTGCTACAGCCATAATATAGCTGCAGAAAATTGTAAAGAAAGAAGCAACACTTACCTTATAAAATAAACCTAGCGCACACTTTTTTCGGTATTCTGCTGATAAAAAGCCTCTTATTTCCTGAACTGTAAGCTCATTTTCTAATACATGCAGGGCCAGTTGTAACGTTTCATTAGTAAATATCTTTCTTCGTCTCAAGTATTTCTCGGTGTTAACTGCATGTACAAATTTGGAAGATAGTCCGCCTATAACTATTCTAGCAGATGTTACTGTTTCTTGATCATTTGGATCTAGCTCATAAAGAAATGCTGCATTGACTTGAGCATGGGCATTTTGGGCGCGAGGCATTACCTAAAATTAAAATACGTCGATTTGGCTGATGATATATTATAGTTTTGGGCAGTGACTACGATTGTATCCAAACTTCTCTGAATTTGGTCACCCTATCCCTTTTATTGGAAGACACAAGAAAAATATGAACATAGTGGTTAAGAGAGTGCATGGGATTTTCTAAGATTGCACTGACTTGATTTTTTTCCAAACACTTCGTACAAGATTTACGCAGGCATTCTTCTCTCAATTTCACAGAGTCATAATGAGTTTTTTAAATTGTGACCCAACTCAAAAATTTCATTTATCATTAGTAAATTGAATAGTAACCGAAAGTTGATTTTAAGACAAAGTCTATAGAAGAATTAAAGCCTTTACTTCAGAATGTCAAACTATTTTCTTACCTTAAATGATATGAACCTATACCTTTTTGATAATGGAGGGAATTTAACTTGCGTTATTAGTTTGCCTGTCATATCTATGTCAAGAAAAGCCTCTGGAGTCATTTGCTCAGAACCATAAATGCTAGCTGCAAATACAGGACAATCTGAATAAATGAGATAATGGTCTTAGATTATTTTTATGCAACTTGAAATAAGAATACGCACCAATCGTTAAAGTAGAGCATACGGTCTCTAGCAGCAGAAAAATGTCTGACGGAAACGTTTGCTCTCTATGTTTTAGCATCAGATTACCGGCTATGGAAGCAATCTAAGAAAAAAATATGTATTGTATTTTTAGATATTTTGTAATATTAGCAAATTCTCACACATAAAAAAACATTTGAATCAAATCTTAGTAATTTTGTAGATGGGTACATTAAAATGAATCCTTACATTTCTAACGGGTATATGGGCAACTAAGTTTAAATGCTCGGAGAGTTTCTGCAAATAAGAAAATTCCTCATGTTTCTTCGACACTTGTTCTAAAAGATCTATGAGATCGTTAAGAGCCATTCCAGCACCAATTACAAGGTTCTGATCTATATAGAAGTTCTTCAACTCTTGCACTGGCCTTATATCTATAAGGATTTTTGGGAATGCAAAAATGGGCACAGCGCCTGTAACAACACCAATATTTAAACAATGTACAGCAACTTACAATTTTCGAAAATTATTTTTATGTAAAACACTTACCTCTTCCAGTATTGCCGTTAACCAAAATATAGGAATCTGTACCTTCCATTTCGAATACTTTGAAGATATCTTGTATTTCGTATACACGATACCATACGCGATTATCTTTCAATAAAATCCTTTTTATCTTTTCTGCAAAATTTTCTTTTCTGACAATACACCAACTTTTATCACATTTGATTTCGATTTCGCCTACTTTCTTATATTCTGCTTCTTTTTTACATATATTCAAATCCTCTATATCCGGAAGATTAGTATTGGCCTTATTAGTTGCAAAACTTTTAAATGCATCAAGAATTGGTCTATATCCAGTACATCTGCATGTATTACTACCGAATGAATCTTCTATTTGTGTTTGGGTCAAACCGTATTTATGGCTCTCAAGTAAACTAAAAACATTTAAAGTAAAAATGCAACATTGTGCAAAATTGATTTTTATAGAAGTATTTATTTTTATAGAAGTATGTGATTTTAATGTTTAATTACATAAACCTTTGTCATTATCATCATCAACCTTACAGCCTGTTATAAGTCGAGTGCTAAACTTAGGCTGATATCATTTTTACGGTTTCTATCAAACAGAAAAGTTTTCATTAGAGACCTTTTCATAGCTCGCATTCTGATATAGCCAGCTAAGAAGAAGATTCCAGTTTCATATATAGCAAAAAATACAACTTTGTTCTTTAAAATTTTAAGATTTATTGAATTTTTCGTTAGAAGTATCAATAAATTGGCAGTACCAATTAATTAAAAATTGAAAATGATAACTTCATAGAGTAAATGGTTGTATTTTGGTTAATTACCAATGTTCAGGGTATGATAAAATATACAAGAAAAGGTTTTTATATTTCAAGTGAAGCGTTCACAACCTCGCACACTATAAAAGGATCTTTTTTCAATACCATACGTTTTACCTGTACATACTCATCACAAATCCAGGGCTGCAGTATCCACATTGAGTACCGTTGTACTCTGCTAATGTTTTCTGAACAGGATGATAACCTTGTTGGCCACCAATTCCTTCTATAGTTTTAATATTCCAACCCTCACATGATGTGATGGAGACCAAACACTAAAACATAGAATCACTTAGTATTAATGCAATGCAAATATGAAAATAAAGGTGAAATACCTATTTTCTGTAACATTATTTAAAAAATAATCCCAACCAACTGTGACACTCTAAAGAGTACATAATCGCCACGATTTAGTGATATTCTTATAACATGTTACTGTACGATATTATACCGTTTTACAAGATAAATGCTTTTTTATTTATGTCCAAAACTAGCGATTTGTCCCAGCTAGCTAGCTAGCACATGAATGATTTGTGGATCTCGAGCGCCACCTATCGGATCTTATTGTATATCTAAGCTATGGGTCCTTTGTTTTTTATTTTTTGGGGGCGGGGGGGGGGGGGGGGGGCTTGTTCTTTTTTCAAGGTCTCTATTCAAATATACATAAAAAATCCTTAAAATCAGCTCAGCAGTTTTCAAACTTATTCGAGACTAACGGAAAGTAATTGTTTTTTTTTTTATAAAAAGAGATCAATGCGATCAAATTATCTTATTTTTAATTTTTTAATCCATTCTTTGTTCATATTTATTACTGTTTTTTTTTCTAAATCCAATGTTGGTTAATTTAAAAGAATGATGAAACCGATGTAAATAACAGCGAAAGTAACAGCTTGATTCTGTTATATTTCGTATGATGAGTGTAAAGAACTGAAGACTCTTTACTGCAATCTATTATTTAATATTATTCCTCAAGCACTGCATTTTGATTCTTAACTGAAAAAAATGTTGATGTCTATAAGCAACAGCATCCAATTAACATCAGGTGGACTGTGTGCTCGTTTGTTACTACACTAGAGATTAGAATAGAATGCTTGAATATTTAGTAATGCAAATGCGGGCATCGTCTTTTTTCTTCTCCTCTTATCTCGTAAGTTTCCACACTCTCCATTACTCGGTACCGGTACTGCAGCGGTATCTAATTCATCATAGACTACAACTCACACTACGCTAATACATATCTGTTGTTTGACATATTTATATGGATAGATACCGGATAGTGTTACTGACATATGGATATAACATCTACATAGGATATATATATATATATATATATATATATATATATATATATATATATATATATATATATATATATATATATTGACATGGGAATAGAAATATGTCCAACAAGTGCTCGGTAATAAGAGGGAGGCATCGACAAAATAACAGCGCTGTGGCTATGTAGGCAGCATTGCTACAGTATCATGCTAAGTTGTATGCACTTTCATTGATTTGTTGTCTTTTAGGTTTGCGAAAAAAATTGTTAGTTTTTGTGTATATTATTATTTTTCGTTTGTTTTGTAGTTCAAATTTCTTTGTTATTATGATTTGTTTTCTATGTGACGAATAAATCATTCATACATTCACTTATATAATTAATTTATATGTTATCAAAAATAACCTTACAGAATTCACAGAGAATATCTTTCGGTGGCCATAAATATCTTCAGTAGCAACGGTGACTATACAGGAACCACAAGTTCCCTCTTTGCACATATATTTTATACCACGTAGGTTCAGAAAGTTACGGATGTAATCGTTTATCGTAACGTCGGAGTCAACTTCGCTGCCCACTAAAACATAATATTTATTATTTAACAAGTACACTTACAATACATATATGACATTATCACAAAAAATATAATGTCTTTTTTTCTTTCTGATATGAATATCAATTACAAAATGCATATAAGATCCAAAAATTAAGTAATTTAATTTAATTTTTGATTAACTTGCAATAGGAATAACACCCAATCAACACAATACAATGATAAATTATCAAAGTAAGTTATGTACCTTCATATGTAAAAACCTGTTGGAAAAAAAGCCAGGATCAACAATCGAGAGAGAAAATGATAGATATATTACTCTCTTCAGGAGTATGTACATTTTTTAAGAAAGTAAATAACTAATTGATAGAATCAGGCGTTACTTTGCGGAAATCCATTATAATAAATATAAATATATTAATCCATTATAATGAATAATTATATTTATTATAAGTAAATGACTTCTATTTTGATATTATATTCAATTTAATTCATAGTAAATATTTCGAAACATTAACATTTTAACGGATTCTTCTTCTTTTCTTTCATCAGCCCTTAGTTCAAATGAAATGAACGTTTTCGGTTTTTGGGAGAATATGAGTTAACTACCAAAAAAAATAAAAAATAAAAAAAATACCACACACACGCAGATTGGCGATCCCCGATCGAAATGTATCGCAAATTTGACGGCAAGCAAGATGGTGGTACCACGATACCGTACCCAAGCCTATCTCTGCTAAGGCCTATCCATACATTACTATAGATGGGGATACCGCTATCAGAAGTAAAGATATAAAATTTATCACTTTCAACTTAAAATAAATACTTTTGCCAACCCGCTTGCCAATCATAGCAATTTAGTAAATATCACCTCTATGACGAAATCTTACCGGGAGGCCTATGTTCAACAAAGGAATTTAATAATTGCATATATATATATATATATATATAGCATGCATGCATTGCATATATATAGCATAACTGCCTCGATGGTCTAGTGGTTGTAGTAGTGCGACTGCTGATCATGAGGTCCTGGGTTCGAATCCCGGGTCGGGCCAAAAATTCAATTATTGAGTTTTTCTGCCAAGAAATTCTCAGTAGCTGCCCGGAGTCAGGAAGTTGGCGGTGTCTCAACCCCGTGCCTCGGAAAGAGCACGTAAAGTCGTTGGTCCTGCACCTGATCTCTCTCCGGTCGTGTCGCTTTACCGTCTCATCGGATTATGAGAGTGAGGGAATAGAGAATGCACCTGTGCTTGCGCATACCACTTTGACACTAAAATCCTGTCCTGCGCCGATGGCTAGCCTCCGTTGAGTCAGGCCGCCGTGGCTGAAATTCGGTCTGGAGGACATTATAATACATAGCATACAACATACAAGGCATAACGAAGCATAATTTTAATTTAATTAAAGTTTGATATGCGGCGCTTAAGTCAAATTATCGAAAAAAATATACATTTATGGATAAAATATACTCATATTATAGTGTAATTAAAAGAGAAAATCGCAAAATCAAGACCATACAGGAGATGCTGTAGTTGAGTTACAGAGTAGAGTTATTTATATATTTATACTTTGCATAGTCCTGCATGAATTCGACAAGAAACTCATCACATTATCTACCGCCACGGACAGAACAACATCTGCCCGGCCAGTTAATTTAATAAATAATATCTGCCACAAAATCATGACAATGTAAAATAAATATGTACAGACAATTTTTTACTAATAAGATAGCAAAAAAACTGGATCAGGTAAAATGGATTTTGATTAGAAAGATACATTTATTTAATGATTTCTTAAATTTACGCGAACACCACATATTGATTAAAACTACTATTACGGATTTTATCGCGTTTAATTTTAAATGTTTTTAACTCCCGACGTTTCGGGTGCTTTTCTGCACCCATGGTCACGGGGGACTAAGGTGACTGACGTCCCGATGTCAATGTTAATTCGGAGTACCTTCATCCTTTTAATTATTGTTTATGGTCCAACCTATGCAGAATGAACTTACTAGATCGATAGATAGATAAATAGATCGTTTTAAAATAGACGTTTAAAGTTAAACGCGATATGACCCGTAAAAGTAATTTTTAATCTAAATCCCATATACACATCAACTTTTAAGTCAGCCATACGTAAAAGTTTAAATGAATAAATCATTTAAACTTTTATGTGTGGCGGACTTAATGCCTGAATTTATTCTCTCCTAGTCAACCATTTATAAATGCATTTTTCTTGTGGTAGAAGCGCTATTATATTTGTTATGCATATGTATTTTTAATTGCCTAGATTTTGGGATAACTTATTATTTCCGAAGTCTTTCTCACTTTATTTTTTATAAAATAAGGGTGACAAACGAGCACATTCCACCTAATGGTAAGTGGATGCTGAGGCCCACAGTCATCTTAATTTATCCTCGATTAAGAATCAAAAGGTAGATGCTTTGTCACCCCTGACTAAGAGGAATGCCTCATTTCCAGTAAAAAGTATCTTCGGTTTTCTGCATTCACCATACGAAACACAGCAGCATTAAGCAGCTGTTTTACGTTTGTATTAAACACATAAACACAGTAACAAATAAATTGTAACCTGAGTGAATATAAAAGTGAAACGATTCAACTATTTTACTCACACAGTATTAAATTTACTTTAGTATGTAATATGATATATATATATATATATATATATATATATATATATATATATATATCATATTACATCATACGAAGAAATTTTATCTGAAGATTGAAAACTCAACTCTAAAATAAATTAATATTCACGGTTCACGGTAAGCTCGGCCAAGAGCAAAGAGATTATATTCTAGCCAAGAGCAATGGAAACCATCTCTCAACTAGAAATCGGTAAAAGCGGTCTCCGGATCTCTACACTGAACATACGAAACATAGCAGAGAGCTTAGTCCTTCCCCGGTCGAACCGACCTATTCGTGCTACAACCACAATATAACTGCAGCATAGCTCTACCACTTTGAAGAAGAAATTAGAAATGAACTAAAAATAGAGACTTTAGGTCATTATCTTGGTGAGTTTGTGGGTTGGATCATTTCTGCACAACACGTTCTAAATGTATCCTGAATAATAAAACTAAAACGAATGCGATTAAACAGAAATAAATTACAAGTCGTGTTTTAACTTTTAGTTTTAACTATATATTGTAGTAACTAACATACAAATAAACATTATTAATTAAAACAAATATAATGCAGTATGGTACAGTTTCTTTTGTTACATGACTTTACGATTTTAGTGAGGACCTGTCGTAATTCAATATAGTAGAACATTCATATTAGACGTCTCACACCTTTGACGTGTGGTATAATATGCATTAAATTATAATTTTGATTACTTACCAGAACATTTTTTGCCGTTAACTGTAAACTGAATCCTATCCATTATTAAATTGGAGTGTGTTTGCTAAAACACAACCGTCTTTCGAAATTATCTTTAAGAATTTATTTTTAAATCGCGAATTAAAACAGGTTTCTAACTTTGTAAAGAACACGTATTATGCACGCGTTATTCGCACTCAAACAGCTAATATGCTAGTGTACTTATAAGTTAATTAAGTTCGATTATGGTTGATTGTATTTCTGAATATTTTAATTTACTAAAATTATCTGCAACGTTTCGTACGTGCGGGCGGTATGTATAGTGAAACTCTCTCTTCTGAACTGCATTGGATTTTTCCACTCAATTAATTAGCTAGCTGTATATGCAACGCGATGCTTGACGGATGAGCTGTGTTTTGTAATGAAATGCATGAATGGTTTTCATACATATTAAATACTAGTATTATAAAATAATTGTAAAAGCAAAATTTATATCGTAGTTTATTACTTAGGATGTGTTTTACTAGTGTGGAGTTATGCTTTACTGCTCGAACAAAAAGTTATCATTTCAAGCTTGGTATCGCAACCAAACTATTTCTTATGTACCCTATAATGCATTTTTATAGGAAAAGCGTGACAAGCGAGCACACAGTCTACCTGATGGTAGTAGTTGCTGTGGCCCATAGACATCTACATCTATCCTCGTCTGCGAATCAAAATGCAGATGCGTTGTCAGCCTTGAGGACTAAGATGGAATGCCTCTTTTCCACTAAAAAGGGTCTCCGGTTCTCTACACTCACCATACGAAACACAGCAGCATTAAGCTGCTATTTGACGATGGTATTCTATGAGAGCGTGGTCCTTCCCCGGGCGAGCAGACCCATTCGTGCTACAACCATACAATTAATATAGCTGCAGCGTGGCTTTACCGTGTAAAAATTATTATTATTTTATTTTCATTCTCATGAGTTTCTTTTGTGTTTTATACATGTACCTAGAACAACAAGTATATACTTGGATTTACCACTGCACGACTTCTAGATACTGTTATCTTATTCATATTCATTCAAAAGTTAATATTCACAAGCTGAAGAAGACTGGTTAACTATAACACCGAGAGATCAAACAGCTCAGTCTCATATCAGTCTAAAATAAGTTAAATTAAACGCGATAAAATCCGTAAGAAAATAGGTATATTCAATGTTGAAGTTGGCTACAGGTGTCTATAAATTATAGCAGCCATTTACTATCATGAGGACTCTAGGTTCGTTTGTCACTTTATTATTACAGAAAAAAAGCGGTGGGGAGCTTTAGTTCAGTTTTTACAGAAAGATGTTTGTTTATTTATTTAAATTATTTATTGCATTCCTATATTAAACGTCCGACCGATTTCTTAAGATTATGAATATAATATAATATAAATCAAGCTGTGCAAATAACTTTTCACGTTAATATAAATTATTAACGATATTGTCCACCAGACTGAACTTCGGTCATAACGACTCGTCTCAGAGACCGGCAATCTGCGCAGTACGGGATTATAGTGCACGAGTGGATGCACAAGCACAATAGTACTCAATATTACTCTCATAGTCACCTGGCACGAGTGGAGAAACAAGCTTCAACGGAGAAGCGAGCTTTTACGTGTTTTTCGAGGCACGGGGTAGGGTCAACTTCATGATTCCGGGCCGCTACTGAGAATTTCTTGAAAAAAAACCAAAACTCAGTAACTGATTTAAGACCCAATCCAGGATTCAGAACTGGGACTTCATGATCTGCAGCCACATTTACAACGAGATAGTCATCAATTACTATTACATCCATCATTAATAATTACTATTATATTAAATTTAAATAAGCCCTTCGAACAATTCGAAATTGTTTTTGTTATATTGTAATTGGTGGTACCGATCGCCTAATTTAAAACTCCATATGCCTCCTTTGTATTTTTGGTAGATTTGGTCACGTTAATTGTATTTATTAATTATCATTTAATTTATATCTGCGCGCTCATTCTATTATGTTTAGTACATTTTAGGATATTTATTATATTTGACATGATAAAAGTGATAGGATTTTAAAAATGGAAGCTCATGCAGTTTAAATTATACATCTTCCATTTTGTTATTTATATATCCTCCATTTTGTTATTCTTAATTTTTTCTTAATCTTTTATTTTAATAATACCACACTGCTTATATTCTGCCATTGAATTTATATAAAACTCATGAAGAAAAGAAATATTTTTTTATAGAATAAGGGTGAAAAACGACCACACAGTCCACCTGATGATAAGTAGATGCCGTGTCCTATAGACACTTACATACTACACTTAGCACTAAGCTATTATATATACATATATATATATATATATATATATATATATATATATATATATATATATCATATATATATCATCACCGTTATTGTTACGCTTGGCGGGTCAATTGCGCGCAGCAACTAATGCAGAGAACTAGAAAAGTTATGCAGTTTTTACGCCGTTCCCCATCGCCGATCTGAATATATTACATGCATATTCAATAATGTAAATTGCTATGAATCGAAGGTTATTTATTAGCTGTTCCTAACATTTCCAGTTGTCGCTTCTCATATATGACCAATCACAATATGACCAAACGAATTCACATATATGACCAAATGAGGTAATAAATTCTCCCATGTAGCCGATTAATCTTATCTAGCTGTCGTCGCGCCAACCTAAGTCACCCTATTAAAGTTCCGAAGTGCTTCATTATATAAAATTTATAGAACAGCTCCGCACTAACGTTGGCCGCGCCCCGGACTGATTCTTGATTTTGCCCTATGAGAGTGCAAAGTGGTAACCAACCGACGTGATGTGGACCGCAACATGCAACCTTCGGGAACCTCAACTTTAAGCTTTCGTCATCATCCTCAAGTACCGCATACATTCGCTCCCAAGCAGATATTTTCTGCATTCTTCAGATCCTGGAAGCCGTCTAGCTTTATGAGGTTCACCGCAAACATAGAATAATGCATCCAGTTCCTTCAAGCTACTGTCTGTGCTACAGTTTTCAGTACGGCTATGAGCCGTACTGCTCGCCTCTACTTCACGGTACTCTAGCAGATTACAAGGCAATGCCTGGCACTTGCACATTTGTCAAGAACTAAACTGCATAACTACCAAATGGAGTGTCGCCGCTCCTCAGGCTGATCACCTTATCCGGTGGAAGATTTCCTCTTTTTTTCTTTCACGGTCAGACTGTTTTCATATCGTAAATTATGGCAACTAAACCACTAGACCTTCTAGACTCCCATAGTTTTCTATTCTAACCCACATTTTTCTACGTGTTAGAGCCACGCTATGGCTATATTATGGCTGTGACACGAATGAGTCGGCTTGAGGTCGGGTCAGCTGAAAACGCGGCAATCCATCTTAGTCCTCAGGGGCGACAACATATCTGTATATTGATTGTTAATCGAGGATAGATGTAGATATTAATAGACCACAGCATCCACTTACATCAGATGAACTATGTGCTACTTAGTCACCCCTATTTTATAAAAAAAACCACGGGATCGGAAGTGGTTTCTTTCATGTCACCCCCATATGATGTTGATATATTGCTAACAGTTAGCTATTTCCTTGCTCAATCAAGCTTAGTTACACCGACCTCAAATTCACAGAGTATTTAACAACATTTAACAAACACAACATCATCTAAACTGCAGCCAAACTTCGTTCGACTGCTTAAACTCATTATCATACTCACAAACTCTGACTGAGTGCTAACGATAGGTTGCAGTGTAGAATTAATTCAACAACGCCTGTTAAACGAAACTGGATCAAACTAATTGTTAATATTTTATTATATATATATATATATATATATATATATATATATATATATATATATATATATATATATATATATATATAGTAGTATTATAAAAGGTACAAACGAGCACACAATCCTCCTGATGATTAGTGGATGATGTGGGACATGCAGATGCGTTGTCACCCCTCAGGAGTAATATGAAATGCCTGGTTTCCTCCTAGTTCTCTTTACCACGTATAATGAAGAATGAGCGCCGTAACGGAAATTCGAAGTGGTAAAGCCGATTGGCAATGCATTTGCATTTTGATTCGTAATCGAAGATAGATACCATCCATATACTGTCTGTTAATTTGTCAGTCTTAAATCCTTAACGGTGTTAAGTAAAAAAAAAATAGATTGGAACAACATCTGGATCAGCTAGATATTCAGACGTAAATATAACATTTTAAGGATTAATCTAGATAGACAGGTATTTGCATTCCCAAAAATATTTATGACATATTTCAACACCAACATTATTCACCCATAAAAACCTATATAAGCAAATATCTAGACAAGCTAAGACTACGCTAGACTCTCCCATATATTGCATATAAATGGGGCATAGTCACGTTTGGGCTTGTTCACTATCGTAGTTTTATATTATTTTGAATTGTTTTATTACGAAATAATATAGGGTAATCACGCCACCATTACACCGCGAACACGGTGGAACCAACAAATATGCTTTGTAAGAAATGTACATCCAATTTGTATGTTGCCTTATTAACTGAGATTTGTTATCTTTATAATATTATCTTTTTATTTAACTTTAGGTTGACAGAACTAGAGAAAACAGACACATCATTATTGAGAACACGATATACCACAAATACCCATTGCATAAATTGGATGTGAGATTTTATCTCGTTTTGCCTTGGTAGCCTGGATTCAATTAAATCCTTTTGTCCCAATTTTATGCTTATAAGATTCTTACCTGATATGTAAATAAGTATGTAAAGTGTTAAATTAAGTTTTAAACAAATTAAAACAGTTTCGATGGAATATAAATTACTATTTGTTTCCATTATGAATATAATAGTAATTATTAACATTATATCACCATTGTAATTGTGACAACATTTAATAGAATGGAAAAAAATAACTACTTATAGATTTTAAAACAGTGAAACACCTTTAAACTAATATGTTATACAATAATTTCGAATTTATTGTTTAATTTTGCTAGTTTTATTTTTTACATAAT